ACAGGGCAGGAGGGACAGTCAAGTCCACCTTCGACCGCTCAGTTGCTACATTTGCAAATGGACCAAGAAGGCGAGAAGGTGGTTCAGCTATAATTTCTCCCTCCTCCTTCCCTAACAGATGCATCTGGTCTGTGTGAAGAGGCATGGATGTTGCTTGTGCTCGTGGCAGGAGGGCGTCGGAGGGAAGGCTGCCTATGGGCCTTGTGATCATCCTTAGAGCCTGACTGGGGAGCAGCATCTTCTGGAGTGCTAATGCTGGAAAACCTCCATTTAGGATCAATCACTGCAAATCAACCCAACAACGTAAAACGGCAGTAAGTCTCTGGTTGTCCTATGCACAAAACCCCAAAGGAGTTAAATAGCCTGCACCCCTAAAGTTCTCAGAGGGCTGAAAACATAGCATCCTACTGCCATTGGTCTGTATTTTAAGCCCTGGAGCAGGCGAGATGTTTGCAATGACAGAGCCTGAGTTCCATGAAGACTCTGAAATCTAAATAGGAGAGGTCAGCAGGAGATGGGAATAAACTGCAACATTTTCTGGCAGTTACTTCTCTCATCCCAGTGTTTGGTTTAATAGTCCAGCTCACTGTTAACTGACATGCAGCAGCAAGCTGTGTTAAGGAACAGTGCAATGGTTCTGGATTTAGTCAGATTGAAAGCAGAGCCATTGAAGTCAATGGAACCTCATTTAGCCATGTGGAGCCAACCCACTGACAGAGAAAATCTCAGGAGACAATCACTGGAAAGATGTGTCAAGTTGTGTGGGTTCTACCCCAGTCTATATTATAATTACATTATGAGCAAAAGCAAGAGGGAAACGAATTTTGTTTATTTCGTAGGTCCTGCATTCAAGGATGCATCACCAAACAGTGCCTTGGGTGGCAATACCAAGCAGGGAGGGAGGGATTTCGGCAGAGAGCTTACTGGAGGTTTTAACCAAGGAACTGGAAATGTGGATTAAGAGCACATTTTAAGCAACATGGTTTAATTTTGTTAAAGGTGCGAGTCATGTAATGGGCAGATAAACGTGTCATGGTAGACCATCCTGCGAACAAGTCATGGTGAGCGGATTGTTCACTGAACAAGCTGCAGGGCACATGACAGCTGACTGGGCACCAGAGCTTGTTCTCCTCCTCTTCTCCCTTGGTCCTGCAGCCCATATACTCGTGTCCTTCATGGCAGACCTGGTCTTGCCTCTTGCCCCATTGAGTTGCTACCTTTTTTCATCCATCCCCATTTTTTCCCTGGAGATTCAAAAAGTTGCAATTGGGATTCGTTCTTCCCTTGATTTCCTAGTTTATCGTAGATGCCCAAGTGTGCATTTAGGGACCTCTGGCCAGTGTGGCCTTCTGTGGTCAATTCCTTTGTCTGCTTCAGCTGTCAAGGGGAAGACAAGGCAGGGCTGCAAAGAGGCCGAGTCTGGCAATTTCCAGAGGTCACCTGCCTCACTGTCAATAGAAAAACACCAATTGGCGGGGGAAATACCGGGAAAGTTTGATCAACAAAAAAAAGGGAGAGGTGGCAATATCACCCACTTAGTAAAGTAATCCTCTCAATTGTTGGAAACACCAATTCTTTCCCTCCTTGACGCAGCTCCTCTCTGGAGCACTTGCTGCTGGGATTCCCATGTTTCCTTGAGAGTTCTAAAAACCCCCCACAAGATGTATGCAAATATGGTGCTGAGGAAGCAAGTGAAGGAGAAATTGTGTCAGTTTAAGGCCTGGGACATACATGGGAGGGATCTGCACACCTGCAGTAACTGCTCCAACAAGCCGGAAGGAGAAGTTAGTATGCCCACTTTCTAGAGTTGCTGCAGATGATGTCACTCACCTATGTATATATGTATTTGCCACAATTATTCATTGTGATACCTATAGCACATTGCTATGACATGCATGCAGGTTGCATCTTTGTGATATATGCGTTTTTCTTCCTAAATCAATTGTGCTGTATTCAATGCGTATATAGGAAAGAGTATTACACAAAACAATGACTATACTGAGTGAACTAAGTGAAAAGTATGCGGTGCTGCTATTGCATACATAAGGACATCATGGGCTGGGCTGTAAGGCAAGCCCTCTGGCTGGCAGATGCCATCCATCAGCCCAACAGGAAGGGGCTGGGTGCAAGGGGCGCCCACCCTTGCCACCCCCCATCCCTCAGATCCGTTCCCAAAGGTTGAGGGCGCTAGAGCAGATTTTGGAGAGAAATAAGTGCTGCCAAGGCAAGGAGAGGATTCCCCATCGTTGCTGCTCTGCTCAGTCAAGTGGCCTCTGACTTATGGTGGCCCCATGAATGAAAGCCCTTCAGCATGTTCTCTCCATGACAGCCCTGCTCAGCTGTTGCAAATGGAAGGCTGTGGCTTCCTTGATGGACTCAATCCATCACTTATTCGCTCGTCTTCTTCTGCCTTTGACTTTCTCTAGTATTACCATCTTCTTCAGGAAGTCTTGCTTTCTTATGATGTGTCTGAAGTAGGACAGGGTCAGTTTTGTCAGTTTTGCTTCTAGGGAAAGCTCTTGAAATGTGCTGTTATGTGAGCAGAAGTTTACCCATGCAACATTAGATTTTGTCTAGAAAAATATGCTCCTGCATGTTTGGGTACCCTATAAAATAGAATGGCCTTCTGCTTGGGGAGCAATATATTTCAATTCAACCCAATGGATAAAAGGTATCAGAAAGTTCTGAAAACTTGTAGTGCCACTAATGGGAGCTGGGCAGGAGAAGGACAGCATCAATTGATCGTCCTCATTTGTTCCAAAGAGGTTTTCAGAGGGAAACTACATAGCAGGTTGTGCACTGTGCTTCCCAGCTTCAGATCCACATCACCTATGTTGTTATTGTTATTTGCTGTCAAGTCATGTCCAACTTATCGGAATCCTATAAATGAACGCCCTCCGGAAAGTTCTGTCCTTGGCAGTCCGGCTTAGCTTGCAAACTCAGAGCTACGGCTTCCTTTTCCTGTGGCTTCCACTTCAGAGTTAGTCTCCCCCTTCTTTTGCCTAGCATTATCATCTTCTCCAGCAAATCTTATCTTCTCAGACTCTGTTCAAACTATGACAGCCTCTTTTTTATCACTTTTGCTTCTGGGTGAGTTTTGGCTTGATTTAATCTAGGACCCACGCACTTCTCTTTCTGTCGGTCCAGGGTATTTGCAAAACTGTCCTCCAGCACCATGTTTCGAACATGCCAATTTTCTACTTGCCAGTTGTCTTCACTGTCAGCTTTCACCTGCAAACCTAGGCATTGGGAATATATCAGTGTTGATCTTGGCCTTGGTTTCCAATGAAACATCCTTACACTTGACAATCCTTTCTAGTTCTTTCATTGTTGCCCTTCCTAGTCTCAGTCTTTTAATTATCCATTTGGTGATGGAGCCAAGGTATGCAAACTATTACACAACTTCAATTTCTTCATTGTTGACCTTATACTTGTGCAACACCTCTGTCATCCCCATTTTTGCTTTCTTAAAGTTCTGCTGAGGTCCTACTTTTGCACTTTATTTTACATTATTACATTCCTACTTTTATTACTGCATAATCTGTGCTCCTGCTAGTACTGTAACATCTTACCTGCTGATGTATGAGTCTCAGTAACGACTGGAACTCTGAGCTCTAAAATATATTTCAGGACCATTGTCCGCAGTCATGCCATTATATCACCACCGGGTGCGTAAGGTTGCTAATGGTTCTACCAACAACTAACCTGCTAAAATGTGTTTTCTAAGCCAGTCTGTTAATGCCCAGAGTCAGTCCTCCCATATCCCTATCAGCAGCACTAGGTACCAACCTTGCAAAATAGATGTCCCTACTACTCCTTAAAACCAATTCTCACAGGAAGTCCTTTAGAAAGAGATATAAAATCTCTGGAATGTGTTAAAGTAGAGATTATTTAATTCCTGGGGTGGCAGTGTAAGAATCATCCTATGCTCATTATCTCAAAAGTAAATCCCACTGTTGGCCTTTCTACCATGTAGGTATTTCTACCATATAGGATTTCAACCATGCAGTGCAATGCTCCACCGTGTACTCAGAAGTCGGCCCTGCTGTGCTCAAGGGGGGTTTCCTCCTCACTGTGCCTGTTTTGGATCGAAGCCTTACAAAGCAATCCTGAGCTCTTTTCTCCAGCAGTCACTCCAGTGGATTTAAATGGCCAAATGGTTTAAGTAAACATTATTTTATTGTCTTAGGCAATAAAATTCAAACTCCACGGCTTGAACCAAATAATGAAGAGTAGACCACCGTAGGCCAGACCAACCATAGGCCAAGTCACCGAAAATTCCGCCTTGGTGCCTGGAAGTTATACCAGTTGTGCACCAGAGAATTTCCGTGTCGAGTGCTTCAGACAGCAGACCTGCCGGTGCAGCCCACTGAGCATAAGCAGGCTTGGCGTGCCCGTCCCTCGGTTAACAGCAAACACCAGCAGGAGTCCGGAGGTCTCTTGCAAATTTCCCCAAAAGCTTTCCAAGAAGCCTTCGCCAATATAACTCTGCTCATATTTAAAACACCACATGGACACCAGCTCAGTGGCAGAGCAGCTGCCTTGCGTGCAAAAGTTTGCTGGTTAAAGGTTAATCTCTGGTATCTTCAGGTAGTGCTGGGTGGGAACCCCACTCCTGCTTGCGTTCTGTTGTATCTCAAAGGAATGGCCTTTTCTTTATTCGTTCATTCTGTTTTAATATATGAAGAAATCCCGCGCGGCTCTGCCCTGCAGTTTGGTCGAGGCCTGGGGCTGATAAAGTTGGACTTTGCTCCGTGAGTCGCGTGTGTGGGCGGGGGGGCGGGTTACGAGCTGGCGTCCTCTTCAGGTGAAGGCTTGAGGGCGCGGAGCCCCGCGAGGGGGACGCGGGTTGCCGCTGCTCCGGGCTCAGCGGGGCGCGCGGTGGCGCTTCCAGCGCGGGCTCCGGAGACACCAAGCGGCCGGATTGTTCGCCTCCTTTGACATGAGCCGGAAGCGTGCGAGACACAGCGTGCGCGCGCGCGCGCAGAAACACACACACACTCTCACACGGCGCGCGCTCACACACCCACAAACACACAAGAAAAACACGCTCGCTCCCTCGCGCGCGCGCATACGCACTCCCCGCGCGTCGCAAGAGGTCCCGCCGGCTGAAGGCGCCCCGAGACGGAAGAAGCGAGCCGAGCGGCTCCTCACGGACAAGTTCGCGGCTCCTCTCGGCGGGCAGCGCCACTCCGGTGTCCCCGCAGGAAGGTAAAGGCGCGCGCTGCGTCGTTGCGCAAACCGGGCTGGCTGGCTGAAGTGGGGCTGCCTTCTGCGGGAGGAGAATGCCCGAGGCTGCGCCCCGCGCCTCCTTCCCACGAGGGGGGACGGGGCAGCGGGCCGGGCTGGGCCGGGCGGGGGGCCGGGCCAGGGGCGCGCCGCAGCTCCCCGTTTGGCGCCGCTGAGAGCCCAAAGGCGCGTCGATCCACCCGAGCTAGAAAGGTTGGCAGCTTAGCGCGTGTTTGGAGCAGGAGAGACCTCTCGGAGTAATAAATTTCCCTGCTGCGCTCGCTCTGGCCGGCCTCAGCCTCTTGAAAAGGGGACCGCGCGCCTGGCTTGCCAAGTCAGACCCTTTCGCCTGCCAAGAAGGTTTTATATAAGTTTGCTAACGAGTTGGAAACGTCCCTTCTTGTTCTTGGAATCCAACGTTGTGTTTAACTTAAAAGCACGCTCGTGCTCTCTTTACACTTTATGGCTCTTGTTTTTAACTTGCTATGGAGACTGGAATTCCACCAGTAGGCCCTGGTGGCGGTGATGCTGCTGCTTTTTTCCTGAATCAGGTGTACCTGAGCAACTCCTCTCTTGCAACAGGCACAGGGATGAGTAGGTTCATATTTCATTCTCCTGAGTTTCGGCCTTTTCCCAACCTCCTCAGAAAGGTCACTTAGAATCATGGTTTTGTTTTTCCTTTGGTTTTTTTATGCTTTTATTTTGTGGCCCCCATGGAAGGAGAAAAGCTACAAGTTATGCAACCAATAAAAACATTAAAAAACACAATTAAAGCCCACTTAGATATTTAGCTTTGTGAGGAAATTAGTTTTCTTTTTGCAGTGTCTGTGAAGAATGCAATCTCTTAAGCAACATTCGGAATGCCCTGAAATGACTATGCAGTACTGCAGCTCTGACAGCTTGATACCTGGCATATTTACTCAGAAGTAAGCCTTAATGAGTTTTAAGTGTGCTTGGACTTAGATGCTGCATTAAAAACATCTGAGAGAGCTGCACTGTTAAAATGCAGAAGTCCCAAGTAAGAGTGCAAAGGGTTTAGTAGCTTGGAAGGGGGTGACATCAAGGGAATTGTGGGAAATTAAAATGACTGCTTGCCTCTGCTAGACACCGGTTGCAGCCAGGCATTGGCGCCAGTGAGCTTACCAAGGTGTGAAGCCCTGACAGCTGCTTGACCCGTGAGTGCTGAAGCTGGGCTTCTGATCTCTGATTAGTATTCCTTGAGAATAAGGCTGGTTTTGTGCCCTTGTTTCAAGTCCAAAACCAAACAGCTGAAATAAATTGAGGTGTCAAAACCTTGCACATGTTTAAGTGTCATTGCAGATTTTGAGATACATACACATTTGTTCGGACATAGATTTAGTTGTATAAGCTACCTTGAAATGTTTTATCTGTGACTTATGCAGAAACTATTAGAAAGTCATAACAAGAGTGATGTAGCATCTTGCAGAGCACTGTACACTTGTGTGAAAAATGGAAACTTAATATTTGACTGCTTGTCTTTCTATCTGTTTTGTCATGATTGCTCTGTAGAACAGAACACCCAGTCGTCCTAAAACCCTAGGCTTTAGCACTTTTATAAAAATTAAAAAGTTAAAATAGTAATAATGCTTAAGATTCATATATAAAGGTAGCATTTGATGGAATCTGTAGGCTCAAAAGATCTTAATTGTCTGTTCACTTAATACATTCATATCTTACTTTTCCTCCAAAGAACTGATTCAGCATCAATTCTTCCCCAAATTCATCTGAGCAACAATTGTGTGATGTAAATCAGGCTTCAAGAGTAAGATTGACCTACTGTTACCAAATACGCTTCTTGGCTGATGGAGGATTTCAGCTGGAGTCTCCTTCTCCTAGTCAGATATTTTGATTCCAAAATGAGGACCCTTTTCAGCCTGAGAGCAGCACTGGGGGACCCATGGCAGCAGTGGGTGGCACCATCCTCAAAATTGGCATGGTTGCCTGCACACACACACAGTCATTCACACCAACACAGAAACACAGGCACTCATTCTGTTCTCACATACTCCCCCACACACTCCATTCACCCATACATTTGTACACCTGTTTCTTACACATACACACATTCCAACAAAAAGCAGCACACTGCCTCTGGGAGTGGAAAAAGCTCTGTTCCCCTGGAGAGCTCATTGCCTTGGCATGATGCAGAGCAACATGGTGGCACAGTATGGAAGAGCTGTGGGAGGAGAGGGTCTGGAGAGAAAGAGAAGTAAGAATGGGCAAATCTGCCAGTTTTGCTTTCTCCCCTATCCGGTTTTTTTTAACTGATCTCATGTTCTTCCTTTCCTAAATATTAAGAACTTTCTGAATCCTGGTAAATTCTAATAGAAAAATGAACTGAAGTGAAATTCTCACCCACCTATACCATTCAAATTTAGTAGATATTGTTGTTATCAGCATGGAGAAGATCCATGAAGATGAGGAGTCCATCCAGAAAGAGAAAGACTTATACAGCTAAATCCCTGATTTATACAGCTAAGTCCCTGATTAAGATTCATACCCATCCTTTGGAGAGCAAAGCATGCAAAGCCCCAGGCCTGAAGTGGCAAATCTGTCAGTTCTGGTTTCTCCCACATTCTGTTTTGGTTTGGCATAGCTTGGCTTGGTTTTGAGAAGTTCTAAGGGTAGAACTGGCTGCCTGGTTGGGGAGGACCTGCAGACTGTATTCTGTCCACAGCTGGGAGATTCCATGACATGCCTCTGGCTTACGTTTACCACTGCTTACTGCCTAGTCATCCACAGGTAGTGCTGGTCTCGAGGGTGGATGAGAAGTCATGCATGCCTCATTCATCTCACCACTTTCCCCTGCCCACATACTTTGAGTCAGGGTGCTCCAGAGCATAGGTAAGAGACGCAGTGTGGTATGGCGGGGAGCGTCCTGGACTGGGGACCTGGAAATTCAGGTTCCCATTCAGCCATGAAGCTTGCTGGGTGACTTTGGCTCACTCATGGCCTAACCCACCTCTCATGGTGTTGCTGTGAGGATTAAATGGAGTGGAGGAAGACTATGGAAGCTGCCTTAGGTTCCTCTCAAAAAGGAGAAAAGGCAGGATATAAATGTAATCACCATAATCTTAATCATTAGAATTTGCATCAAGCCAGAAAAGTGGAACAGAACTGCAATATAGGAGGCAGATACAAAGTTCCCATTTAGACAGAAAGTCTTTGTTTTTGTTTGTTGACAAAGGCTTTGCTGATCTCTAGAACTACAAATCCCGGAATTCCTGGTCATTGGCCATGCTGACTGGAGCTGATAGGAGTTAAAAGTCCAAATCATCTCAAGTTGCCATGTTGGTGAAATGTGGCATAGATAAGGTTGGGCAAAAATAGAATGAGCATCTTCCGTATGTGGCAGCAGTATCCACAGTGAACTGAGCACTATGCTTAATGTTCATATAATGCCACTTCTAAAGGTATGGACTATTAAATTGTTTTGAATTGTTTTGAATATTTACAGAATGCTTTTTAACTCAAGTATTTAATTTTAATTTAAAATAAAGTTCACAAAGCAGCTAACAAAAGTGCAGCAAAGCAAATAGTTTGCATACTTGAGCAGGAAAATCATCCCCCCCCCCCCCACAAGCATGTAAGTACCATGTAACTAAACCCCAGACATTACCACAGTTAAAACTATTCACTACCAAAAATGCCACTGGATCACTGTTCAATTAAAAACATGGTTAAAATTGCCCTTGCATTGAAGCACTAGCCTTGGGACCATAGGAAACAAGGAGTTCCATGCATAGGGAAAGACACTGCACCCAGCTTAGAAACCAGATTGGCTGGTAGAAGAGGGAAGCCACTCCCTCCAGTTCCTGCACCGAAATTCAGCTACCTTTTCTTCCTCTTCAAATTCCCAGCAGACTAGTACTTTTTTTAAAAAAGGGTAATATATTCATGTGGGCTTACTGGGTGGGCAAACAGAAGGGATTTAAACTGGTTGCTAAAGTTTAATAATAAGGATGTCATGCAAGTCCAGATGGGCAGAGCCTTCCATGTATGGAGAGATGCCATGAAAAGCCCCTTCAGGTGAGGTATTGGGAGTTCTTCCATACAGGACTTTCATCCCACCTCATTCACCAGATTTTATGGTACATTCTGAGGTCTTCCTCTTCAGACCCAACTTTCCTTTGTCGATTTTCTTAAAAAAAAAACCCTTTTAGTAGAAAAGGCTAGGAGACCTCAGTCTGTGTTGATATCTTAAGGGCCATGGCACATTTTTGTTAATCATGATACCATCTCTTGCTCCCAGCACAACCCTGGTGTGCACAATCTGACTGCTTAAGAACACTAGAAATCAAAGAAAGATAAGTTACAAGGGATTTTCAAACAGAAGAGAAAACATGTTTGGTTAAAATTCTATATATAGAAGTTAGCAAGCTTGTGAAAGTCTTTGGTTGATGACTTTCTTTTGGGAGCAAGGTTTTGAGAAAAGCCAAGGGTAAAATTTGTAGGGGATTTTGGTGTGGTTAAGCTCCCCCGCCACAAAAAAAAGCTCTTGTTCTGCCTGGTAAGTGAAACTTTCTGGCCCTGGGAGTCACCACAGAGAAATCTTCCTCTGACAGCTTCTCCTTTAGGCAGCTGCTGAAAATGTCAGGACCCTTGCTTGGACAGAAAACGATCCTAATAATGAGACCTAATAAATGCACACTTTCTATCCTAAAAAAATGAAAGCTGTATTTGCTATTTACAGTGCGGTTTTTCTTATGGAGAATGTAACGGAATAAACCGACATGTTATATGTATTTTTCTGTCTGTCACTGCTTTGGGTGTTTGCAAGGGGATTGCACTTGAAATCCCAAGAGCTGAGTGCAATATTGGGACACGAAAGCACGAATCTAAAAATGGATTGTAAAAGTTCTGGAAAGCCAAGGAACTGCTTTTTTCCCCAAATAAGGAAACTTGGCACATTCTGGTATATGTTTTAAGCTAGCACAAATGTAGTACTGCTTTATTGGCAA